ATTAATTACATTTTGTGACAAAGATTTGCTATATAGTATATATATCGCTTTATGCTAGTGTACTGTATGTGAATAAAGCTGGACATAATACATACCCAACTTTATATACAGAGCTGTGCGATAATACAGTTAACATTTTTGTGACAGTTTAATCAATCACGCTGCTGATATTGACTAAATAATGCTTTATATGTTATATATGCTATATATTTTTACATAAGTTTATTTGTATTGATAAATATTAAACAAGTATAAATCTTATCATAAAAACACTTTTACATCTTTTAAAAATCACTATCTTGTAAATGCATTTCATGAATCTTATTGTAAATGATTCATCAAAATATATATTTTAAGTATTCTTTTTATTTTTGACTTTGCAACTTTTAATCAGAATATCATAACTCGGCTTCCTGCTGAAAACCTCAGAAAAAAACGTCAGGACTGCAAGATAGAAACGTGGAATTGTGAGATATAAATGCAGGATTGCAAAGAAAAGTAAGAACTGTGAGATATGAACTCAGGATTGCGATATGTAAACTTAGAATTCTGAGAAAAAAATTTCAGAATTCCAAGATATAAATTCTGAATTGAGAGACGTAAACTCACAACTGTGAGAATAAAAATCCAAATTGTGAGATAAAAAAAAAAAAATCACAATTACCTTCTTTTAGTTTTTATTCTGTGGCAGAAAAAAAAACAGAATCGCAAGTAACAACGTCAGAATTCAGAGAAAAAAGCCAGAATTGCAAGATATAAAATCATAATTCTGAGTTTACATCACACAATTCAGAATTTGATAAAATGAGTAGAAAACTCCAAATTATGAGATATAAACTTGCAATTGCTAAAAAAACTCTTTGTGAGATAAAAAGTTAATTACAGGTGGAAACGGGCTTCCATTAGAATCTCAACACACCCCAAAACAAACCTTGTGAACAATGAGAGACGTTATTTGGCCGTTGTCAGCTTGATAATCGAGCCAGAACAGCTCTGTGCCAGTGTTCTCCTGCTCTGTGCCAGAGCTGCTCTCATTCCAGTCCTCTGCCTCCGCATTCGCACCAGGTTCAGATCCATCTAAAATCAACCAGGTGTCCAATACATGAGCACAGCAGCACACATCAAGCTCCTACATATCTCAACACGTCAAAAGTATTTGGTCAATTTTGATGATTTAACTGATCCATAACGTTCACGATTACTACCGATATCAATCCTCATTTAGCTAGTTAGTAATTAGATGCATTAGTTAATTTTTATTTTTCATTTATTAAATCTACAAAGCAAAATATTAGTACTGCCAAAGCAGTGGCTCCAATACTGGTGGGTTGCAGGTCTGTTCTGACATTAAATGCAAATAAATTGCAATCATCTGGCAGTATTCTGGCACAAAGTGACTTGGTAATGTGCCTAACTTAGCTCAGTGTTTGTACAATGTCTCGGGAAAGTAAATTACAATTCTGCAATTTTGGATTTCCAAAACGATCAAATCTCCTTCTGTATGATAAATTAATTTGGCACTCTGTTGATCCCCCTGGATGCTAAAACAAAACCAGCTGAAAACCACTTTCCACTGTGCAATACTGAATCTCACTGCGGAGGCGTGGGTGATACACCTGACGGTCGGGTTTCCGTGGACGCCAAGGGGTGGTGGTGTGTCTGCGCCTCTGTTTCTCCTTAGCCTGCTTTACTTCTCTGTCATAATCATCCCTGTAGAAGATCAAATATTAATGTATCACTAACCTGTTGTACACAATCTACGACATGCCTTAGTTTACACTTTTTTCTGTAAGTATAACTGTAAAAATGTCCACCTTCAGCTTTGCTGATTTTTATAAAGGTACCAGAAGAATAACTTTTATTTTGTTAGTGAATAGTGATATTTCAAAATTAACACTAACTGGAAAAAATGTACTAAGCATTTAAATATCATCTTACTAAGACACATAATTGGAAATATAGAGTGGCAATTGATATTTATATGCATTTTAAAGGGTTAGTTCACCCAAAAATGAACATTCTGTCATTAATT